ATCAGTGACCATCCTGGTCGGGTAACCTTAGCCATTTCCATATAGTGAACTGCCAATCATTCAAACTATGGAATTAGTGAATACGTGAGTGCCCCGAAAGCCCCCATACATAAAGCACACACACGGGCACTCTTCTGTTCACTATACCATGACACCGTAAGTTACACGAGGATCAAGATGAAATGAGATCATGATCTCCTAGTAACAGCAGTAAGCTTAAGTATTTTGTCCATGTTAAACACCATTGTGGGTTGGAGAGAACGGTGACAGAAAGCGCAAATTCCGGAAAACAACCGAAAACAACGCAGATACTGACCTCTGCGAAAGTTGATACAACACAGTGAAGCTGCATTGGATATGGAAACACATGGGGCTGGGGAATTGGCTAGAGAAAGAGAGACTTCCAGATGTGCCAAGAAGAAAGCAACATTCAGTAAAGGACCTGCTAATTGATGATGAATAATGATGAATCTCTGACGCCAACACGACTGCGTGATCTGGGCGTAAAGCTTAGTGAACCACGTCTTCAAGGTCAAGACAGGAGACACTAAAACCAACTTCTTAAGGGAACAATCAGTAGAGGTACCTTTGAGGGACTGCTGCATTGAACAACTTAGCATTCAAGGGAATGCCCAATTGTAACAACACAACATAATAGTAGTAGTAATTTAGACAACCTGTTCAACCCATATAATAGCTATAATTGGGATGAATAGTTTTTTGTTTTTTTTCACAATGGATATTTATGCTTATATATTACGTTTAGTCGGCTCTGTGGCTAAGTCGATGCGAACGCTTCATAATGCCGGGTTCGATCCAAGCTGCAGGCCAAGCGCCATGTATTGGTTTCGACAGTGGTATCAAGAAAGCCGACCGTCCAGAAAGCAATGGCAAACTACTGGACGTAAATTTGCCTAGAAAACCATACAACCACGTTTGGTTCTGCAATTTCCTGTGAAGGACAGGCAACTAACCATATAACGTTTGATTATTCAATATTACATAGTGTATGTATTATTGGTATGAAGTTGTAGAAGAATACATTGTCAAATTCAGTATACTTTAAGTGTACTTTCAAAAATAGTAATTATATTCTGCAGTTTATCTTTATGGATATTTGAAATAGTAAGAGCAGAATTAGTAGGAGTCTTACCATTTCTACTCAGCCTAACTATAAATATAAAAAGGAGTGCAGTAGCGATGTGTCCTATCCTCAGGCATTCTCAACTCATTTATAGAAATCATTCTTCAACAAGTTGAATTGTCTGGACTATCAGTGGAAGAATAATAAACAAAGGTATGCTGATGACAGTTTTACCAACAGAAACTGAAGCAAGTGACTAGACTTCACTAGACGAAGTACACAGCATGTATTAGAAAACTCAGTCAATCATCTCCAAAATGAAGTTTGGCTGTAGTGCATTTTCACAGTTTTTAGTTTTGGTTGTCTTCTGCTCTTCCATCTCTTAATAGTATCCTTCTATTTATATCACTGTCTACCCCTTGATCACCCGCCTTCCCCTTTTCTATCTAATATGGTCTTTATAAGTGTTTTATGTCTTTTAATGTAACCAAATTATTTCACTTTGCTGCCCCTTTCCTTCTCTCTCTCTCTCTCTCTCGCTCTCTCTCTCTTTTTCTCTCTCTCTCTCTCTCCCTCAATTTCCTGTTTGCAAATCTTTTTTTTAACCCCAAAAAATATATTAATATATAAACAATAATCTGCACGTAAAACTGTTTAGTTGCTCCACTACGCACTGTAACTTTTGCTCATTTTTTGCTCACAGTTCATTTCTCCATTCCATTCTATCCAGTGTAATCACTTTGTTGTTATGAATGGAAACCATTCCATCACCTTTAGCCTCTGCCTCGTTTTCCAGAAACTGCATCCGTCATCGCCTGTCTCTCTAAGCCACCATGACATTTACCATGGCCTTAATACCTTAGCTTATGTGACAGGATGCTGATTGTGACCTAGTTCTCCTCAATGTAGTTTTCCATGATAACATCAAATAATTTATATGGGAAATGCTTTTAATTAGCATCATTGTTGCTTGTTATCATCACCACAATAGCAATTCTGCTGCTGATGATCTTCTTCATCATGTGTTTATTTATCTTGTCATTGTTCTCCTCTTCATCACCATCATCTTATTCTCAGATTAGTTAGTTAGTTAGTCTTTCCTCTTGTGTCGAGTGCGGCACATAGGGCAGAGGTCATGACTCTCCATGCATGGCAATTCGTTGCAATCTGTTGTAGGTCTTGGATGTTTGAGTGGCCCATGAGCGAGCCTTCCCTGATGATAGTTCTACGTAGGGTTTCCCTTGGTCTTCCACGAGATCTTTTCCCCTGTGGTGTCCAAATGAGGGCTTGGTAAGGGAGTCTTGATTTATCCATTCTAAGGGCGTGGCCGACATAGTTCCAGCGACGTTTTCGTATAGAATTAGACACATACTCTTGCCTGGATTCTTGCCTTATTTGTGCATTGGTTCGGAAATCTGACCATTTGAAATTTAGTATTCTTCTGAGGCATTTATTTTCAAAACTGTCTAATTTTGTGTCTAGATTTTTCGTTGATTTCCAGCTCTCGCATCCATAAGTTAGTACTGGAATCACACAAGAAATTCTTAGATTAGTGTTACTTATTTAAAAGTAAGAACTAAGTAATGCATTTCATTAAAAGAAAGAAAAAGAAAGCACATTTTGGAGGTTACTAATTGTATTTCATATATTAATACAACGAACTGAAGAGTACATTTGATAATAAAATAAAGCAGATTTAATTAATGTAATTTCATGAGTTGTGTGTCATCAAAAAATGCTGCCATGTACACTCTGTTCTGTTGAGCTGTTGCTTCTGAATTGTCCCTGCTCATGGTATCTTTGTTTTAACTCCTATTGTCTCTGATTAAATATAAAAATACATAGATAACTGCATAAATAATAAATGTGGTACACTTGTAGCAGGCCTCAAATCTTCAGACCACAAGTAGTCTGACTAGCGAGGTCACTGCAGTAATGACAACCTTATTATGACTGCAGATGCAAATTTTCTCCTAGCTATACTTTCTCATTGACTGGAGTTGTAGGAGGAGATGAACAATCCAAAGATTTATTACAAGGGCTTGTTGAAGAAAGGGAATGAAGGGGCAGCGTCAATAGGAGACTCACTTTCAAATCCAGCTGTGACTCGCTGCAGCCCTTGGCTGGTGTTCGAAACCGGACAGTTCCTCGGGTTCACCCAGCCTCTAGGATATGGATAAAGCGTTTGGGATGAATGACACTGATTGGAAGGCTGCCTCTCAAGACCGAAATGCATGGCGTGCAGCTCTACACAAGGGCGCGGCTACATGTGAAGCAAACAGAACAGCAAGACTAATTAGGAAAAGGTTGGACAGAAAGGTGACTGCAGGAGATCCCCTTCCTAGCACAACACTCATTCCCTGTTCTCACTGTCCAAGAACCTTTCGAGCCCACATCGGCCTCATCAGTCATCTTCGTACTCATACTTGATGAAAAGAGTGGTCATCATCTTGATGGACAACGCACACACATTAAACACAGGATATGGATATGAGAGTTAACACTCTGGGGTAAATAGAGGAACATCGCTGCAGCTATGGAGTTTCATGCAGACGGTGACACAGGCGGACAGTTTCTTATCAGCTGTCCATACTGGTGACAGAGCACTTATGGTTTATACCCATGTCCAGTGACGCTGGTTCACATCTTTACCCTTTTTTCTTTTTTGCAAAGGGTCTCAGCTAATACATGGAGGGCAACCAGGGAGATGACTAAATGACTAAATTGATGGCTGTAAAACAGACCTTGATCAGGTTACAAGTATAGTAAGTCACAAGGGGTTAAACCATACACATGTGGCCAATTAAGAATTTTAAACCAACACAGAATTTGGGTTGTATGCCATCAAACAGTGAAGAATGTACTGATAAGTGAAAAAGAGTATTTGTAGACTGAAGAGTTCAACCTGCAGTGTGGATGATCTTTTAGCTAACCAATTAACATGATTTATGCGATATATTTTAGAAATTACAAAACATTACTAAAACAAATAAAGATAAAAACAAAGTAGCGAAGAAATAATGACATAAATATGAAACATACATCTTAACCTAGACTGAAGTCAATCACACTGTCATACCAGCTGTACACTTTGACACACCTGTCCATCTATCACTTAAAGTTATCTTTATGTTCCCATGGTTAGCTCCTACACTTGACTTTTCCTTCCATTAAGGTTTTTATTAGTGTCATGTTCTAAAGTGTGTGTGTGTGTGTGTGTATTTATGCACACTTTTATTTTTGTTAAGGCTTTAGTTAGACTTTCTAGACTTGCTAATTGTCAGGTCACTGTTCTTTGCAGCTTAATAGTGATGACTGTAGCTATTTTCACTCAAGTGTCAGTCTCTACACACAGTGGGGAATTGCTCTTTTAAATTCTGATATATTATTTTAAAACAATGCCTGTATCTCTTCAACATTTTTGTAAAGTGAGGTGGATGTTGATAAATAAATCAAAACAGGGGGAAATATTTGTGTGCATATTTTAGGCTTTGTTTCTTTTTAAATCCTATGTTTTACTGGGAAATTATCACACTCAAAATAGCAGTTTCATATTACTAGAAATGTCTCATGTCTTGCCATCTTTTAATAACTGTAACTACAAATATACTATATAACCCCTTAATATAAACTGTGATTACACAGCTGTAATTTTAAAAAGTCAAACACACACAATTAGATTAATATAATATTTGAAATGAAATATGCATTTACTTTTAAAATGGTTTATAGCTGATCAAAATAAAGATGACATTTGAAAGATACATTTAATAGTTTAAAAATGTAAACATAAAATAGTTCTGCCATAATTTGAACCTCAGTGTGGATTATAATTATTATTACTAACTGTCAAATGTGTTCTATTGCGTTCAGTCAGAAACTGACAGAGTGAAGAAAGGAGTTTAGCCTGTCACATTTACTCCCACTGCAGAATGTGTTTTACATCCCCAACGTAGCGTTCATCATTCTTCCTCTTCCTCTGCGGTCCTTTGAGAAAAGCAGCAATTTGTTTAATAGAAGAGACTCCATTGTAGAGTTTCTGTAGATGAAAAAAAAAATGTATTTTTTTTTAATGTCAAAGATATCAAAATTCACTTTTGTACAAACTGACCCTCTTCTCAAGATGCCAAAACACAAGTATAAACTGTTTTTAAAAAAAACATAACTGAAAAAAAAATATATATATATTATACAGCAAACTGATTCTTCATTCCTACACAGTGCTAATGCCTAACTTTAATATTGGCCACGGCTTGTCTATGTAAAATTAACGCCTGTGAGATGAGATGCCTGAAAAAAGCTGGCAACTTAAACTCTGTGGCAAAGTGAAAATAATGCAATCAGAGAGTTTGCAAGACCAAGATCTTGCAACTAGTTTACTGAGAACCAGAAGATCAAATAGCTGTACCTAAACAGATGTGCGAGAGCAATACATCTGGCACATGATGACGATGATGAGAGCAAGAGGCAGCCCAAGGATAATATGGACGGATGACATTAAAGACATCATAAAAATACATATAAATGGAATGGCAATGACTAGTACAACCCATCAATCAATGGACTGCAAACTGTTCCTCACTATAAGGCCAAACAGCAAATGTGTTAGTTGAAAATGATGATGATGGTGATGACAGGAATATCTTGTAGTAGTAGTGCATAGAAATAGCAGGACTTTTTTCCCCTTTTCTGATTGTACACAACTGTACACAGTGCCGGCAGATTTTTATTTTTAGACATTTTTTTAAACAGTACTACTGTAATAGATTGTTTTGCATACGGGCACTTTTTTAAATACACTCTATGATTGGTATCTGCACTTTTTATTCTAGAAAACAATGCAGTAGAAGTTGTTGCTGTTGTTGCAACAGCATTTAGACAAAAAATATTAAGTTAAACTCTTTTAGACTGTATTTTGAAAACATATTTTTTCCAGACAAGGAGTGTTTATGTTTTTAAAACATACTTTTGGCTATTTTATTTTGTATATATTATTAGATTTATGTGATTGTAGTGCATGGCAAGTTCTGCCACAGATTTTTGTAAATAGCTGGAGGTTTTAAACAGATAATATTTTGAGATATACTATATGTTTTCAGTTGAATGTTATTTATCCAAAAAATTAGTAAATTTACCATTTCTTCCATAACTTTTTGTTTTTAAAATGACACAGTAGATACTTTGGCCACATCCATTTCCTTATACAAATCTGCTTTCTCGAGAACTGTAGCTATGATGAACTTGGATATATTATATTGCTTGAAAAAAGTTAGTTTTGCCATGGGTTATGGGGCCCTATTGTAGGGAAAACAAGAATAGACCCACTGCCTACCTAAAAGTATGTTGTGAGAGTCAACTAATTGGGAGCTTTCTTCAAAGTCGGAGTGCACCTGCCTGAGAGGCAACGAATCGACAGCTGCATGCAAATGAGTCATATCTGTAAAATGGATGCACACTCAACACTCAGGTTCTGGAAAAAAGACTAAAAGTCCAGAAGTGGACAAACAGCCAGAACTTTCCACCGGAGTTTACAGCCAGTGAACGGGAAGAAGAAGAACAAATTAGTTTGCCTGCCTTCTTTCTCATTTTTTCCCTAATCTCTTAATTCAATGTGTGATTTTGTTCTTTTCTTCTTTCTTGTTTTTTCTCTTCTTTCTTTGTTTTGTTTGGCTCCAGGTTGAAAATGATACACGATATATAAATAATACTGTTTCTCCATAACATTTCCTGTAAGTATATCAACTAACTGTATTGTTTAATTACACAAATACCAAAATAGATACATACAATAGAAGCAAATATGTAACTGCATGCACACACCACTCTTCACATTTCAAATAAATGGAACTTAGTAACAAAAAGCACACAAGCACAGTGCATCACCATTCATATATCAAATCTAGGTTCGTATATAAAGGTAAAAAATTGGACGTGAAAAATAGTTTGTATCTCAGAAAGTTTTTATGCAGAGCAATTTTAAGTCAAGGTATCATTGTATACGAATTAACATTCTTAAGTGACTTAAATTAATCTTATTTTGCTGTGCATTATGTATCTTATGAATATGAATTATAATTCTTATCTTTAAATCATTACTTGCAAGTCCATAGAGTTATTAAATTATTTTCTATTGTCTCAGGCTTCTTGTAATGGTTCATGTATTTAATTATGGTTTCAGCAATGTAATAAATTTGAATTGCTGGGTATGACACTGTGTGCGATGAATTTCAGGTGCAAGAGCTGGCAAGAGACTGTTTCTTTTAGGCGGTTTGTGATGAGGGTGAAATTCTGTAAAGGACCCGCTAAATGATGATGATAATGATGATGGTCATTGAGAGGAAGTGAGTTCGTTTTGCAGGGCACTAGTTATAAAATATGTCTTCAGCAGGCAATTGGCACTCTTTTTTTTCTTTCTGCCTCCAGGGTCCATCTTTTGGCTTGTGAACCCCCAAAAAAATACCACACAAAGAAAACAAAACGAAACAAACAAACAAAAACTAGTGAAAATCAGAGGTAAGCACGGCTGTATGAATCCCTGGTAAAGTAATGCTAATCCAATAAGTCCTGCATAAACTGTTGAGACAAGAATAATAAGTACTTACATGAACAGCTGGATAAGGTTCCAACACTTCTATGCCCAAGTATTCAACAGCTGTAAGCAGGACTTCCAGTAAACTGACATCAGCCATAGATAAAGTTTTGCCAACTAAAAAGCCTGACCCATTCTCACTTGCAATCTGTAAATAGACAGTGTTATACCTTAGGAAAGATCAACTTTGAACTCACCACAGCAAAGTAACTCACCAAAGAAGACTAAGTATTGTGTCTTCAAAACATAATTTCTTCAAACATTTGCATATGAGGTATTAATATATTGTATAAAACACACACAAAAAATAATATCCCAGATAACTTTAAATAACCCAAAGATAAATTGCACAATATGATAATCACAATTTTTGAAGAAGTACAATTAAACTATATTATAACTTACTATATAGACTCCTACAATCTGTTACAATTTACATATTCTATGCAGAATTACAGTCTATGCTATAATCTGACTGCTACTGGCACAAGTAGTATCGGAACTCTGCGTTGGCTGCTGAAAATGGGGATGAAGCGCATATAGGAATGTACAGAGTGCCATGATGTTGGTTCTTGAATAAATTCATCTGAACTTGACTCTGTGCAGAACCGACAAGCATAAATATCCAACATCTTTTGCCTCTGCTGCTTCTTCTTCTGCTCCTTCTCTTCCTCCTTTTTCTGGCCTTCTTAAAGCTCACACTTTAATGATTCTGTTCACAATGCTCCATTATCTTATGTAAAGCACTTTGTGTAGCTTGTCTCGTATATGTGAAATGGTTCAATATACTAGGGAATAATCTGCAAATATCAGGGTTCGTCCTGGTTCAGTTGATTTTCTTACTTGCTGTATATATGTTGCACACGACAGGTGGTAATTGTGATCCCTGAGGAAGAAAAGTATGTATAATGAATCCCATCAGCGTGTTTGAAAAAAAAAAAAACTTTTTTTTTCAATTAAATTTACTTGGTTCTGAGATGCTATACTGTTTTTACACCAGTTTAATTCAATTTTAAGACTGCGTAGAATACATTTTTTTTTTAATGTTTCCCCTGTTATTCAGCTTTGCCTATGTTGCTGCAAGGCCAAATTTACACATCTTGAAATAAAGTTTTATGGTTTCACACATTTGTGCAATTTATAGTCAGAAAAAACAGTACTGACAAATTACACATTACATTGAAATACATATAACAATTTTGACCTAAGTAGTTTGCCATCTACCCTCCTTGCCAAAACAAGTAAATCTGGCCTGAAGACTGCTACTTTTAGATTCTTTGTCACCAACTGTATATTAACAATGATAATTTGCTAGCAACTGATGGTGGGAAATGAAACAGAACTACATATTAAAAATCATATAATGTTTCAGAAATCAAAAAAAAAAAAAAAAAAAAAAAGAACATGTTACCTTTTCAAATATTGGCAAATATTTTGATAGAGCTTTCTTGGCTGGTCCTTCCAAGACATCTTTTTCTGGCGCAAAGCCAATCGGAAGGAAAGCAAACATGAAATCTCGAGCCCCCTCATAATATTGGTCAATTCTGAAATATATTGATAATTGTGATCCATACAGATTGAAGCATTAATATGAGTAGCATAATTTCTAATCTACAAAGCAGGTTCATATTCATCTCTGTCTCTAACTGACTTCAAAACTTATATTTGATCTTTTAATATACTACTAACAGGTAAAACTATTTTACTATTGAAAGGTTTTCTCAGTATGTGACCTATGCATCAATCATCATCATGTAGCAGGTCCTTTGCAGAATGTCGCTCTCATCACGGTCTGCCTGAAAGAGTCTCTCACCAGCTCTCCCGCCTCATGTACTTCAAGGAGTCACTTATATCCTGTGCCCATCTTCGTGTTGGTCGGCAACCTGCTCCTCTTTCCTGGTACCATGCCCTTTCCTATTTTTTTTTCTAGTCTTTCATGGCGCTTCATATGACCAAAATATTTCAGCTTCCGGGAAAGAATGCTGTTCATTAGTCAATCTTCCTTGACGTTCAGATCTTTTAAAATGTCTTCATTTCTTCCCTTCATTGTCCATGGTATTCTGAGAATATTTCTATAGCATTTCAGCTCAAAAGCCCCTGTCCTATTTCTTCAGTATTGGAAGATAGTCCAGAACTAAAATCCGTAAGTTGCCACAGAGATGATGCAAGCTGTCAAAATTTTAATTATGAGTTCCTTGCTGCTGCTCAACCATAGACTTGTAATGCTGCGCCAGCAAAATTCCCTCACCTCCTTCATTTCTGGTATATTTTTCTCTCCATTGATCCACTGTAGGCATTCTTTCCCATCTGTTTAATCCTGCTATTTTACCCAGGTGCAAATTCATTAATTTTCATAGTTTATTAGTAACTGATTTAGCCAATCTTAATCTTTTATTATGTAGCAGTCCCTGTGTGGGTTCCGGGGCCCCATTTTGGGGAAATCAAGAACAGACTCACTGCTTACCTAAAAGCATGTCGTAAGAGTCTACTAAATGGGAGCTTCTTTCGAAGTCAGGATACATCTGCTGAGAGGCAAGGAACTAACAGTCTGCATGCAATTGAGTCAGACATGTGAAACGGATGTGCATGCAACACTTAGTCTCTGGAACAGGACTAGAGTCCAGAAGTGGATGAACAACCTGACCTTTCCACGGGAGTTTAAAGCTCATGAACAGGAAGAAGAAGAAGAAAGGATATGTACCAGAATCCCAATTTTATGCCAGTTAAATATTTTAAGTTTGAGCCACTTACACTGCCGATTATTACAGACAGGTCTAAACTGCTGCAAGCAAGACAATACCTCGCAGTAGCCACATAATATAAGCACCTCCTGCGTGAAACCCTAGGTAGAGCTAAAGGTCACAGACTGAAAACAGGAAAGGCTTGGATGGCACAAGCTAAAGAAACAATTCAACATATGTGCATAATTTTTAAAAATGGGTAAGGAGAGGAGCTGATCAAAGTGTCTGAGCAAGAAGAAGACTGAAGTAAGGTTCTAATCAAACTGGGCCGGGAGAGGACTGGCCAGTGGGCACTGCAGAATCAGAAGTTCAATAACTGATTCATAGCAACTCCTGAGCCGGCAACATTATTATCTAAACAGAATGGGTCTGTTTTGTGAGGCAGAAGGAATGTATCGGGGTTCATAGCAATACTAAAGGACAACCATTAGTGCAACAAAGCCAAAACATTCTAATTTGAGAATAGTGTTGAAGGCAGGTCAGTGCAGCCTTCCACAGGCCTGAGAACCAGCGGCACACATATTATTTGACTGTCACTGACTTACAAAGCAAGATAAGAAAAGGAGACACATATCTACTCTGTGCAGAGTAGCAAGCAATGATTCAGATGTCTTGGGTAGTTAGCAACCTTTGCATTGGGTAGTTAGCAACCTTTGCATTGGGTAGTTAGCAACCTTTGCATATTTCTTCCAATGTATACACGATTTTCAAAAATGAAAAGGAAACACTGGCTGGTTCTGCACCACCTGTAAATTGTTACCTGGCAAGCTGGATGTTGTCCATGCCTTTTAGCAGTGTTAAAAGTGTAGAGGCACACATAGAATATTATGGTACAAAGAGAATGGCACGGCCGAAAGTGACCAATGGATCTGGCTAACACTAAATACTTAGGGGAAAAATCAGATGGACATACAATCAGATGCTACTAGTATCATAAGAAATGGAACTATGCAGTAGCTGCTGAAGATGTGCAATGTCCTTAGTGCTGTGATGTCAGTTCCTAACTCAGTTCACCTCACCTCATATTCCAAGTTTGGCACTAGATTTGGTTTGATTGAATTTTACAAATTTTCTAAACATCTAAATTTTCTTTCTTTCATTATCTCCTTTTTCTTTCTCCTATCTTGTCCTACATTGCTATCTAAATATCTGAATGCCTCAGACTCAAGACGCATAGTTTCACTGGGGCCCATTTTAAAGGGAAAAGAACAAATCCACTGCCCACTAACAAGCTTATCATAAATGGCAACTGTAGAATTTTTCTGAAATTTTATGTTTTGGCCAAAAGGGTGCAGATACCATCACAGCCTAGCTGTAAACCACAACAGAGAGTGTTGGAGATCATCTATGTACTCTTTGCAATGCACTGTATGAGCTGGTCTTTGTTTCTTCAAGGCTGTTCTTTTGTTGTTCTGCATGGTCTTCCATTTGCTATGTGTCTATGTATTTCTTCAGAATGGCTCTTTGTAACAGTTGGTACCAGTCCAATCTCATTAGATGGCCAAACCATCTCATTTCTTGCTCTTTAATAAACTGTATAACTGGTTTCGGTCCTAGTCTTCTAATTTCTTCATTATTAATTGCACATCCTTTTGTTACTTCTAAGACATTTCATCTTTGTTGTGTCACAACCCCTGTCTACACAGCCCTAAAACATGATACACACAGACAGCAGTGACGGTTTTCGTAAGGGTCCATGTTTGATACTGGTGGTATAAAGCTGGACATCACTGGACAGTATGCAAATATAGTTTCAACAAATGTTTTGCGATGTCAGCTAAATAAAGAAAACATTTTTGGTGAACACATGCTCTTACTGAAACGTCCCTATGTGGGATGCAATTTTTTATTTGAAGCCCCACCCTGACTTCTGCTGGGGGCCCTGAGTATAGCTGAGGCATAGATATGGCCTAGCCATAGTGATGGCCTAACGGGTGAAAGGGGTTTCTGGGACCTCTCCACGGATGATCATCATCTGCATGGCGGCACTTTGTGTCAGCGGGTGTTTATTGTTTGTGTGATGTACTAGTGTGGTACAACTACCAAACAACCAATTCATGCTCTCTGTAAATTGTGATGCCTGTCTATATGTGTACATTTCATAATGCAGAATTTTCTGTTTTAAATCAGCTTTATATATTTAATGAAAGACAGCTGTAGAGTAATAATTTCTTACAAAACTTCTTCATCCAGGTTTTTCCCATAAAGTCCAGCCTTTTTTGCAATGTAATGCACAATTGCATTAACTTGTACAATATTCTTGCCATCTATTTCTAGCAAAGGGATCTGATGAAACAGCAGCCGCCCTTCTGAAAAAAATAAAATTTGAGAATTTTACTGCATACCAACTTTAAATTTAGTTTACAATGCCTTTGCAAAATGTTACGGCCTCGATCAATCAATCAGATGCCATTTCAACATTGTAGACTGGCTGTAATGTATCTTCAAAATGCTGTGAAAGACGACGACAATTTAAAAATTAGTAACACTTAATGTATGTTGCTTGCAAAAATTTTCAGCTTTAAAATGAGTCAAATATTGAGTAAGGTTAATCTATATTGCGATAAGGAAATCTCCATGATTGCTCCGGTCTCCTCCCTTTATTCACAATAGGATGGTTCTTGGGTGACCCTTATTTATAAAACAGTTTCCAAACAATTTTTTTCTCACTAAAAGTTAACTAAAGTAAAAGATGAGGGGATCGATTTCATTGAACAGGGTTTTAACTCATATGACTCGGTCTCACTCAGAACATCTAGCTGCCTGCCCGAGAGCATCACACAAAGTATGAACTCTGTAGCACCAGTAACCATCCACAGGGATCTCTGTAAAAACTGCACTCCTAAATCTAATGACCCGGTCATAAAACAAACCCCACAGCCTTCAGAGCTCTAGGCAAGTGACCTGAACACTTCAACATTGAGAATCCTATACAGAAACAATGTACTTCATTGGATGAGCAATTTCCCTTCAATGCCGAATAATGTTCAAATAATTACCTATGTATTTTCATGATTTTCTTTGATAATGCTACTATTCACCCTCCAAACTTGGCAGACAAGCTGACAGAGGATTTCAATTTTAACAAGACATCTAATTCAGCCCATGGATCCACAGATCACTGCAAATTTTATAAAACTCTAAAAGAAAGCATTATTTCAAAAATGTTTTGAAGTGACCTCTGAATTAATTTCCTTGTCTTCTTCTATGTACTCCTAGAATGCCTCACACCGTCAGGACAGGAAGAGATCTATGTAACAGGCACTTATGTTTGCTTCATATATAGTACTTCTCAGTACAGAGTTGGTGGAGGACCACTGGAATTACACTGAATTAATGATCTGGAAACATTAATTAAACATTGTTTAAGTATCTTTGACACAGCTTAAGTACAAGTGACAAAAGGACCATGAACCCGGCAAGGATAGAATTGTGGCTGGGCACTAGCAAAGGCACTGAGGACTTTGAGGCAGTCTGCTGCTGTGTTTGATGCTATTATAACCCTGTGCAAACGCATGAGCGAGGATTGATTGAGCGGTTTGTTCCCTCCAGGCTGCTACCAAAAGGTTTACAATACCATCCTGAGATTTAAAAATCTTGATTTTGATGGCAGATCAACAAGGCAGACCCCAGATACCCCGTTCAACCTCTATAGAAGTTATAACTAGGGCACCCATAACAGATACACCAGCCAGGTGTAATTTGCAGTCCTATATGGGTAAGGAGGATGAGCAAAGAAGTTAAGAGAACTGATGCTAAGCCTGGTGAAGACCTACAGGAATTAGCTTAAGAAGGAAGAATTAGAACACCTTCATAGGAGAAAGGAAAACAAACAAAGTGGTCTTCAAGGACAAGGGAAGGAAGGGAGGATGTTCCTAACTGTTTAAATAATTAAATGTATAGGGATGTGGTGCACAGTTCTGTAGCCAAATACCACCCTCACAAGGTTTGCAGCAAACCACACTATATATCTTTTTACTGACAATGCTTGTTTCACTTCCAAAATAATAAAAGACAAGCAAAAACAAATTTCATTAAACATGTCAGTAAGTCAGAGGCCCTAACATTTTGATGCAGAGCTTAACAGTGACAAGAGACACAAAGATACAAGATTTTAAAACTCAGGAGGTAAGTTACTTGACACTTTGATGGTAGTGGATTCCATTTCCAAAACAATAGGACCTCTCTGGTGAACTGTTTAATTAACTCTTACTTACGACACTATTTTACTTGCAAAATTTCCCTATGTGGGATCAGGGGCCTTATTATATGGAAAACAAGAATAGACCCACTGAGTCTTAATAAGCATGTCATAAAAGTCGACTAATTGGGAGCTTCCTTCAAAGTCGGAGTACGTTGACATGAGAGGCAAGGAACCAACAGTCTGCATACAAATAAGTCAGATTTATAAAATGGATGCATATGCAACACTCAAGTTCTGGAACAGCACTGCAGTCCAGAAGTGGATGAACAACCAGAACTTTCTGCCAGAGTTTACAGCTGGTGAACGCAAAGAAGAAGAAAACTTACAAAATTAGGTAAATGTCACAATCTCTCACTAGTAGTTAAATATTTAATATGCAAAATAATTCAGGGGAGAAAGAAGTTAGTATTCACAAGTAATGCAATACACAAAAGCAGAAAGCTATCCCTACAGCTGAGTGAACAATAATAAAAGAATAATTATTTGTATGTTAAGAAGCATAAGTGATTGTGGCTGACCATCTCACACTGTCACTAGAGTACTGATCAAGTCCAAGTTCCTGTCTCAGTCATGTCACACAGTATGTATTCTAGAAATTTATCTCTGTTTGTGTTCCCGTTGCTTATTTCACATCAGGTTTACTGGTTATCACAACACTTCAAGTTTGTTCAACTTCGTAACATTTTATGGAAATGTCCTACAGATACTAGACAAAATACTAAAAGTAGCCATTTGCAAGATAGAAAACACACCAATAAAATGAGTTCAACTGAAGTGAGACAGAAAAAGAAAAAAAAGTGCCAAACAGAACTTAAAAAAGATATTTTTAAACATGAGTGAGTGCAGTCAAGCTAGTATGAAGAAATTATTCCACTGACAGAGGCAAAACATACATACACAAGGAAGAAATGGACGTTCTGGCAGCAGTTTTTATCAGCACAGTCAGAATCTAAGCCTTTGTTGTTGTATGCTTGTGAAAATGGGCAATGAATAGAAAACTTTGAAACTCTAATAGCAACTGGAATAAAAATAAAATGAACAGTCAGAAGAACAAATGAGGAAATCCACAAGTAATAGATGAAAACGCTAAATTAATTAGAGAAATTAGTCAAAAATAGTCCAAAGTTTTAGCCATGATCAGAAGAGAAATAAGCTTGAAAATGTAATGGCAACTAATCAACATGGTGGGAAAAGAATTTAAACACTTCCATATTATACAGACTCACATGGACATACTGTGCTGGTCACACAAGGAGTGCAGTCTGTAAAACTGATGCACACATAAAACTCAGATTCTGAAACAAGACTAAAGTCCAGAACTGGACAAATAGCAAGAAATTCCACTGGAGTTTACAGCTGGTAAACACGAAGATAAAGAAGAAAAAGATATAGACTAACACAAACACATACAAGCAAACATAATATTGATACTATCATATTATCATGCCCACACACACACAATTTACCATCAACAAGCTTTAAAAAGTCATCGCGTTTCCGCAGCAATTCCTCTTCAAACTGAAGTGAAAAAAATAAAAACATTAAGATGTTACAAAAACAGCCAATAAAAGACCCATAGATTGTGTGTAAATAATAACATCTACAATATCCTTTCAGTGTGTTACACAAACAGCTCGAAATAGGTGTGTACATGTGACAACAACAAACAATAATAAAAAGGTCAGCATAACAAAAATATCTCCATTCCCTGCACAAACTGTTGTACTACAAGCACTATATGACAACCCTGGCAGTTTATACAACAGATACACTATTATCAGTTCTGGCTCTCAAAACATGTATAAATGAGGACCTCAAAAAGCAGAGAAAATTGTCTTATTTGGTACCGATGTGTTTTAATTCCAAGAAAAACTAAAGCTACAGAAAATGCTAATTTAGAAAATAAGTTGAATATAATAGTAGGAAAGGACGATGATGAATCTTGAAATAAAGATCAACTTTCAAACAAAAGCTGAAGACAATTTTTGAATGGAGTGTCTAAGGAAAAGCACACCTTTGAAAGATTATACAAATACCAGTTTCAGGACTGGCAGAGAACAGTGTTATTGTTGGCATCATGAGCTATGTTGAGTCATGATTTCCCTTGCATGATCACCAGAGACCATATTAGAAAAAAAAGGCAAGCAGTGAACTGGCAACCAGGAAAGAGGAGACACCAGTGGAAGAATAAAAGTACAGAACAGGGAAGAAGTATGTACATGTTGTATCTGTTCAAATCCTATGGCTTTCAAAATCAAACTGGGATTCTTGTATATGTAATACACATACATGTGTAGACACAGAAAGGTTTGGAAAAATTGTAACCATTTATTCCTGTTAATTTCAATCATGATTTATAAGAAAACCATTATTTTTTTAAAAACCTGAAATATATGTATATAATATACTTATCATGTATAATTGCCCTGTATACATAATGACAAAATTGTAATCTGATATCTTTTACTGTTATAAGCAGGATCACTACAATAAACCAGACACAACTAACAAGTTGCATTATAACAACGAACATTGCATTCGAGTACTATAATATATAGCAAACCACATATGATCTGATAGTGCAGTCAGCCTCCTGTACTATATAGAAGAACACATTGCAATAACGATGAACTGATGATCAATGAAAACTATCGACCATGACTTCCTGCCACACACACCCCTGAAAATAGGAGGAAACCATAAAAACCCCGACGATCTATGTCCAAGTAGCTTCTACGGAGACTCCAAACCGATTTAGCAGATACGCATTTTGTGATGTGCAGTGACTGTCCTCTGACGGCTCCTTGTTAAAGAGACCCCGCCACTTCAGGGTTGAAGGTAGAAGCACCAAACCTGGTGAACAGAATCTAGACCTGCTACCTATTCACTCGTTAAAGAATTCGCGATCCCTCCCCATCACTACCCCACACTGGTCAACACACCCTCTTCCGAACTTAACCACCAGCGTGTCACATAGACTCAACATTGCTGACCTCGCCAAACACAGGTCAACACTTAAAACTGTCCACACAGACATCATTTCTAAGCTCAACTTACTTAAGAAACACCTCATTAATTTGGGCAGTCCTCGAGCACCAATATAATAAAACATATGGCTAAAACTGCCACACAACAAATCTGTGAGCGCTGATCAATACAGTGTCTTTTTACTTTATTGTATAAAGTGAATTTCAAGCCACACATGTTTTCACCTTTCTAAGTGGCTCACATCTCCACTATCACCGTGTCCACGTTTCATGAATATTAACGAGCACTCACGCTTCATTAACCTCCGACTAGCCCCTGGCTTTCTTAACTCCTTACATACCAAACTGACTTTAGCATACATGATTACTAGTTTTGGACTAACTTGAAAAGGTAAAACCTAATTATTAAAATAAACAATAAAAATAACACTCAAGAAGCAAAAAGTCAAGTCTCAATCAATAAACCACCCAAGAATATTTATTATCCCCAGAGCTATTAAATGCTTCTTAATCGGGGGATAAATGAGTTTCAGCCTGACGAATAAATTAATGTATGAATAAACTAATGTGATACTATTTGCCATGCTTAAAAATTATAAAATATAGTCTTTAAAATTTGTGTTTAAAAAATAGACGGAAAAAAGCAAAATATGTATATTTTACTTACCGGTATGTCGGCTGCCGCTAGAGCCAGTCTTACAATTTCTCCTCTTCCACGACCATCAAAATAGTATAGTTTGGCCATGTTGGTTGTCTAGAAAATAACGCCAGTCGTTTCGCACACGCTCGGGTTTCCTTTGCTGGCTAAAGCAATGCGCGCTCGCTTGGTATATTTCTCCCAAGACCCAGCTGAACAAATAATCGCGCTGCCTGTAATTTCCTTCCACTTTCAACCAGTACGAATCGTTTGCCACGTCAGTGTGTTCTTCATGAATGGTCGTAGAAAGAACGATTTTGTTCCAATTATAGACTATGAACTGTGAATATGCAAGTTTTCTTTGCAGCAGTGTATTTAATAGACAGCAATGTTGGTACTCTAGAATGCATACGTTTATATTTATTCATCATGTTACAGGGTAAATACTATATTTAAGATCAGAAACAGCCAGCAACTAAATGTTGCTGAGCTATATAATAAACGGGAAAATGCGATTGTTACCCGCCAGCTTGCCAGTCCATGAACCCCAGAAGATAAACAATAAGTAGGTCAGCCAAGTTCAACATTGTGAAGAACGGTGAAATATGAGATGTGACAGGATTAGAGTTATAAGTAAAGAACTTTGGTTTCACTAGATGCGGCTTGTTGGGTTTTTGTCTCTTCTCCTCCTCCCCCTCTTCATTCTCAGTATTTTATAAGGAGTAGAAAATTATAGGGAAGAGAAAAAGTTGGTAAGAAACAACAATTAGTTTATGTTAGCTTTACAAAATCGATCACAATAAACAAACAAAGGACGTTGCGGCGATTAGCCTTCATCAGCACATAAAGGACAACACAGTACACATACACAAATAGGCTCTAACTATGAAGTGACTACACAGGACTCTAATGTATAAAATAAACGATACTCATCTAGTGTCCCTGGCGAAAAAACTTCGTTCAAATGAAACGACGGTCAGCCTATATACCTCCAACGCGCAGGTAGGGGCAAAAAAAAGGGACGGGCTGGACGCCAACAGCGTACACTAGGTGTCTAAGGAGGAAGGGAGGGGTTGGCCTATAGGGCGTAACCGGGGTTGGGTTGTGGGGATGACCTTAGTCAATCCGCGTGGAATAAAAGTGGTGCCTGTGCTTGCAAACAAATATCGACAGACAGACAGCTAGATAGATAGATAGATAGATAGATAGATAGATAGATAGATAGATAGATAGATAGATAGATAGATAGATAGATAGATAGATAGATAGATAGATAGATAGATAGATAGATAGATAGATAGATAGATAGATAGATAGATAGATAGATAGATAGATAGATAGATAGATAGATAGATAGATAGATAGATAGATAGATAGATAGATAGATAGATAGATAGATAGATGGATGGATGGATGGATGGATGGATGGATGGATGGATGGATGGATGGATGGATGGATGGATGGATGGATGGATGGATGGATGGATGGATGGATGGATGGATGGATGGATGGATGGATGGATGGATGGATAGATAGATAGATAGATAGATAGACAGACAGACAGACAGACAGACAGACAGACAGACAGACAGACAGACAGACAGACAGACAGACAGACAGACAGACAGACAGACAGACAGACAGACAGACAGACAGACAGACAGACAGACAGACAGACAGACAGACAGACAGACAGACAGACAGACAGACAGACAGATAGACAGATAGATAGATAGATAGATAGATAGATAGATAGATAGATAGATAGATAGATAGATAGATAGATAGATAGATAGATAGATAGATAGATAGATAGATAGATAGATAGATAGATAGATAGATAGATAGATAGATAGATGGATGGATGGATAGATGGATAGATAGATGGATAGATAGATGGATAGATAGATGGATAGATAGATAGATAGATAGATGGATAGATAGATAGATAGATAGATAGATAGATAGATAGATAGATAGATAGATAGATAGATAGATAGATAGACAGACAGACAGACAGACAGACAGACAGACAGACAGACAGACAGACAGACAGACAGACAGACAGACAGACAGACAGACAGACAGACAGACAGACAGACAGACAGACAGACAGACAGACAGACAGACAGACAGACAGACAGACAGACAGACAGACAGACAGACAGACAGACAGACAGACAGACAGACAGACAGACAGACAGACAGACAGACAGACAGACAGACAGACAGACAGACAGACAGATAGATAGATAGATAGATAGATAGATAGATAGATAGATAGATAGATAGATAGATAGATAGATAGATAGATAGATAGATAGATAGATATATAGATAGATAGATAGATAGATAGATAGATAGATAGATAGATAGATAGATAGATAGATAGATAGATAGATAGATAGATAGATAGATAGATAGATAGATAGATAGATAGATAGATAGATAGATAGATAGATAGATAGATAGATAGATAGATAGATAGATAGATAGATAGATAGATAGATAGATAGATAAATGCTTCTCTCTTACTGTCAGCTATCGAATAGAGACAGTAAGGATGCCTGTTATACAAAAGTAATCAGTCGAGCCCGAGAGTAAGACTGGTAACAACCAGAGTGTAAGGGAGCGATGAAGGGATAGATGAGAAAACAGCATGTGTGGATAGTGGTGTGGATAGGCGAGTGTGTCCTGGATAGATGGGTGGGTAGATGAATGGATGGAATGGTGGATGACTGTATTAGTGGATGAATGGAATGGTAGATGGATGGATGGGTGGGTAGATGAATGGATGGAATGATGGATGACTGTATTAGTGGATGAATGGTATCGTAGATGGATGGATTGATCGATCAAATATGAGATGAGGTAAAAACATGAGTCTAGTAACACAGTGCTTCTCTCTTACTGTCCGCTATCAAATAGAGACAGTAAGGGTGATTTTTATACAAAGTATTGGTAGAGCCCAAGTGTAAGGCTGGTAACAGCCAGACTGGAAGGAAGCGGTGAAAAATAGCATTGAGTGGATGGTGAGATAAATGGTGTGGGTAGATGAATGGGCGGGACGATGGTTACGTTCGTAGATAGATGCAATGGTAGATGGATGAATGGATCTGCCTATATGTATGCTGATATATTAAAATAGGTTTGTTGCTTTGTTTTAGTATCCAGAAGCCATGAGTTGTTAATCCTTAGGCTCGGTATTATGGATATCGCAACCCTTCGGCCTTGATTCCATTTTAAATACCGTAAAGCTAGGAGAAATGTGGCTTTTATGCCTACTCCAGGACCACATGGAGTTCGTCACCCGCTCACCGCGCAATCCGGTTTAGCCAACTACGCTAGAGAGCCGGGGATTTGAACAGGTCCAAACGAGGGTCTCATACTGTGATGCTTCTCTCTTACTGTCATCAAGCAAGTAAAGACAGTAAGGTATTAAAGTATCAATCGAGTTTTTTAAAGTATCAATCGAGCCCACGCGCAACAACATCGTGTTGCCTGAGATACCTGCTGAGTAGGTAGCCGAGACTAGTGATGGATTGTACATCGGGTATGTGGGCAAAGAAACGTGGGGAGCGATGAATGGATGGACACATCGAATAATAGGCTGAGTGGATTGGGATGAATGAATGATATTATATATGGGTGGACGAGAGGATGGATGGGTAGATGGAAGAATATATAGATGGATGGGTCTGAATGTATGTTAATCTGACATCGCGCGAACCAGGGTCTAGTGATGCAGTGCTTCTATCTGACTGTCAGATGTCACACAGAGGCAGTAAGGATGACTGTTATACCCAATATCTGTCGAGTCAGAAGTGCATACCCCCAATGTGTACATATACTTACCCTCTCGGTAGTCAAAACGAGATATGTACACTGTATAGGAGGAGTGCGTTCCAACACTATCACGAAGTTGTTCCACATTAGGACAGTGCATCCATATGTAACGAGGAAAAATGAATGGATGAATGAAAGTTTGTATGAATAGGGGAGAGAAAAGAGAAGAAGATAGAGAGCGAGAGAGAGGGGGGGGGGAGGTAGGGGAGAAACAAAACAGAAAGGGGGAGAGGAAGGGGAGAAGAGTAAGGAGAGGGAAGACCAGAGAAAACGTGGTATATACCTAGAGAGAGAGAGAGAGAGAGAGAGAGAGAGAGAGAGAGGGGGGAGAGAGAGAGTGAGAGAGAGAGTGAGAGAGTGAGAGAGAGAGTGAGAGAGAGAGAGAGACTAGTATTCAAGTATATTATGTAGTGTCAAGCAACCAGCAACATAATCTGTCGAGACCTAGGGGATAACCCTCATTCTATGTAACTGGAATATCATGACAGTCAGAAACTAACGTGGGATGGGCGTGGGTGTAGTGGGGAGGGGGAGGGGGATAAGGGTGCGTTACCGGGACACTGGTAATTTATACGAAGCTATGTTGGGTGTTAAGGCCTAGTGGTGAGAGGTTACCCATCAAATATATAAGTCTGTTTTCCAAAGTTTTCCGATGTCGATCGTCAGACGAGCAGGATCTGATGGCCGTGACCTTAATGTCAGCGGTCCCCCGATGGTCACCGCTGTTGAAATGAGTGGAAACTGGCCTGGCTGTTTGGTTAGTGATGTCATGGAGGTGCTGGCGAAACCTGTCGGCTAAGCGAAGACCAGTTTCCCCGATGTACTTGATGTTGCACCGTTTGCAGATGATAGCATAGATGACGTTCCTACTAGTGCAGGAGAATTCCTCTTTTATGCTAAAAGTGCCTTTAGGAAAAGTCACATCTGAAGTATTCAGCACGTATGGGCAGGTCTGACTCTGAAGGAAGCATAAAGCCCAGAAATGGCACAATACTAGAATTTAGCCACGAAAGTGACGCAAATAACCAAGACCACGAATATAGGCGGAGACTGTTAGCAGCTTCGGCTAGCTAGCAGCAGTCTGAAAGCGGTCGACTTTTTCCTTTTTTTTCTCAAAAGGACTAGGACTAAATCCAGTTGACAGACCTCCATATCCATTAACGTTTACATCCAGACAGCAGTTTCTAACCTTACAGTATGCATCTGTCAGCGTCTGTGGCTCAGGCGTTGCGAATGCGCTTCGTAATGCCGGGGTGCCGGG